ATTAATTGAATAATTTTCATATAACTCAATTTTCGGTTTGTGTTTGTTTTAGTAAATTCTTGGTTTTCTTTAATTACGTTAATAGTGATTTTGTAGGCAAAGATTATGTAACTAATTATATGTAGCCGATTTTGGAACTCTTATTTATCAATGATTCTTTTTTATTTTAACAAATTTATTAGAATCATTGATTGGGATTAGCATATATGTTACATACACACACAAAAAAAAACAATTATAGTAATATTTAAATTTACATGACGTCAATTTTAGAATTCTCATTTGTGAGGATTCTTTTTTATTTTATCATATTTATTAGAACCAACAATTAAAAAATATAAATTTATATGAATATCTAAATATATTTATATTAATATTTAAATACATTTTTCATTATAGTAGATTTTGAGAATGAATGATTTTATATGAGATATATACAAATCTTTTTTTTTAAATATACACCAATTCCCTTTATTGGTATTCTTTTTGTCAATTTTTTTTAAAAGGAAAATTTTCAAAATTTTGTATAGTAAATCGATTTTTTGTTTTTGTATACACAAAATATAAATTTATTGCAATATATATATATATATATATAAATTTACTACCTAAAAAGTTGTCACACATATAATAGGAAAGTTGTCCAATTAAAAATTGTTCAATTTGAAAATATATAACAAGTTGTCACACATTCAATTAAAAATTTTTCGGCTTGAAAAAATTAGCCTGAAGTAATGTCTAATCACTAATGTTTTATATTTTATATCTACTATATATAATATCTCTCATAAAATTAGTGTGATGTAATATTAATGTTTTGTATTATTCATACATATTTTTGTAGATATACACCAATTCATTTGTCCAACTGTTGTATAAATTATCATATTATAAATAGATCCATCTTAGACTTTCATTTAAGTTCAGCGGCACCAGTTCCTTCTGATTTTGGTGTTCCATTTAACAGTCATGGTCAGTCTTTTTGTATAAAAAATATAGAAATATTTGTGAATATTATATAGCTAATCAAGTATAATCGATATTAAACTAACAACTCATTGTCTGACTGCCTAAGTAAATTATCATATTATAAAAAGATCCATCTTAGGATTGCATTTAAGTTTTAGAGCACCATTTACTTTTAATCTTAGGGTTTCATTTAAGACCAGGGTCAGTCTTTATGTGCGTTGGCATATTATTAAAGAAATCGGTTCTTAGCAACGATCGATTATATGTTGTTATTTTTACGTGTAAGTAATAGATAAGAGATGTGCATTGTCATGTTATTTTTTTAATCACGGCCAATTGTATGTTGTTACACGTGTAAGTAATAGGTCAAGAAGAGTCAAAGTCAACATTTATTGTACGTTGGCATGTTAAGTAATAGATCAAGAAGAGTCAAGATCAACATTTATTGTACGTTGGCATGTTCTTAAAGAAA